CTCCCACAGGTATTTTTGTAAAGTATTATTTTTTAATATCAGTACAACTCAAGATTTCCCCTTGTTGAAAAATAATGTGATGATAGGAAGCTTTTTTCTATTTTGATAATGAGTTATATTTTTTACCCTTTACCCTTTTGACTCTTTAAATAGCTTTTATGAGTATAATCTATCCTCTTTATCTTACTTCCCACGCACAGAGAAAAATATCCCATAGAGAATAGTGTTCATATGCGTTTATTAGTTACTATGAGTTTTATTACTGCATTTCATACTAAGCTTTAAAAAATTTAAACATGCATTGCTCTGTTAGAAAAGATGTTGCACACTTCTTAAGTCAGTAGTACCTTGCATCCAAGAAAGCTCACTGAGCAAAAACATTGTAATTCAACCGGCAGATATACGAAAGAATTTAACCTGTAGTTAATACATTAAGGCCTTTCATGAGGACCTAGCATGAGAAAAAAATAAGGCTTAATATTACTGTATGCTCACCAGCCTGAAGTTTGGCCCCACAAAGGGAGACAATGTGATGTACTTTGAGTTCAAATTTCATTTAAAACCCTTAATACAAAAGCAGTTAGGCACCTAACCAGCTGTGTCTGGAAGAACATCCCATTTTTGTCCATATTCATCTGAAATTACAGCCAGCGCTGTCAGTACAAAGGGAACCTTCATTAAAAGGGACTCGTTTTATTCACACATAATAGCTACAATGTTTTACACTTCATAAATTATTCGTTAACTTGCCTAAACTATCTCTCTTTTATGAAAGGTTCAGACATGATCTAGGAATTCTGATTTCTCTGGCATTTATTTGGAAATCACAGTTCATGATCACATCAGTTGCTAATGCCTCAGCATGCTTTTATGCATCCTGTTTGCATAGATTTTTTTTAATATCATTGCTGCTCATTAGGCTTTATATACTATGATTAACACTCCTTCTCCTCAGCAATTAAGTAATTTATCAGATGACAGACATTACTGTGCAGGACCATCACACACTGAAAGATTAGGCTCAGTTTAACAGAAGCAAGTATCTCTGCGTTGATTAACCACTGATAGCTATGTATATTAATGAAAAGCTTTCTAGAAAGATAATGAGGCAGATTCTGCTTTTAGTAACACTAATGTAAATGCATAATAACTCTTGCACATCTGCGATGTGGTTCTTTCAGATTCACATGACCACAGCTGGACTGCATTTATCTAGTAGAACAGATTTCTTGTCACTACTTGGATCCAGAACAGCTGCCCCCCAACAGTGTAGCTGACTTCAAGCTTAGGGAAAAAATGTTTCACTGGTGATCTGAGACACAAGTTCAGTGATTTTTTTTTTTTTTTAATGTGGCCCATTGTGTGTAATAAATTATTTTAAAAAAAAAAAAAAGTTCCATGTTTTTCACCTCCTCAGCTTATGAGAAGCGATAGAGGAACAGGGACACATCCGACAGTCAGAAATCTTACTCCAGGGATACAAGCCAAACTCATCGCCGTTTTGCTCCTAAAACCTGGAATTGTGAGAAAGTAATTTACTGGGGCTAGTCACTGTTAAAATGAGATGTGGTGAAATTTTGCTTGCCATCATTTAGCTCTTCAAAAAAAAGATTATGTGTTTCCATGTGATGTTTTTGTCTTCTCTTTTTGACACCTGAGATTCCACTGAAAGATAAAGATGAAGACACTCTCCTACTCTTGAAGTACTTTACAGAGCAATTCCCTGAGTGTTGCCACTGACTAAGGATGAAGAATCAGCACAGATTTTCATTTTTATAGAGTCTTTATTATAGTTCTTCACAGGATATCACTAAGAAAAGAACTGGAATTATGGGCTGCAATGGAAAGTTAAAGAGCAGTGATGGTATTTGCAATGGAGTTTAGTTGAATCTGCTTATTTCAGCAACCACTGTTCAGTGGCAGGTGTGACTGTCCCGTGCAAATCACAACTCATGAGTTTCAGTGGCACTTCGCCCATGCAAGACAAGATGAACCCAACTGATTATAATCACGGCTTCCCTCCTCTGCAGTAGAAATTTGCACTGTGACACACGATACCAGCTGCTGGACACTGGCTACTATAATAAAAGTTAATTTGCAGGATGGTATGGGCTGCATTAATTTCAGTGTGGCAAAATGCTAACAGTTGAGCCAACTTTGGGCCAGTCAGCAAACTGAAGAAGGAAGTAAGTCAGTCATGATTCATATAAAATGCTGTAGATGACAGAGCATTATTTAGATTCATCAAAGCCACAGAAGTCCGGAGGGATATTAGAGTAACTTAAGAGCATGAAGCAAAGCCCCACACTGGTAGCTGAAATTCTTTGTAGCTACGAAAAAGAGATTAAGGTATTTACCTGGAAAGAAGGTACAATTTATACAAAGTGAAATGGCTTCACTAAGGGACTGAAAGAAACTTTCATGGCCTTCCTCCTTCCCCTCCCCTCCCCCCCCTTCAGAATACTCTGCAGACTGCTAGGAAATCTGCAAGAATTACGGATGGTTTAAGTTAAATTTCTGTGTGATATCAGGTAGATAAGGGATCCGTTGTAGCTTTGATCCAGGCTGGCAGCCAAATGCACAACAACCACTCGCTCACCCTCCTCCGTTGCAACCTCTGATATTTCAGTGAGTACTCCAGCAGTAAGTCTTTGGACTTTGAATTATATTTTTATGCAAGAAAAGAAATAGCATGTGGAGCAGCCACATTGTGAAGGGCTGCAGTGGCCACTCCTGCATCCTGGATGGAGCCTGGTCCAAGACAGCTCTCCCTGAGCACCTGAGAGGGCATGAGCAGAAGAATATCAAACTCTTGGATCCCTCGCAGGACACCAGCAGGGTATTGCATTGCCCAGGATATGTTGTGATGTGTGACACAGCACCCAGTTCTGAGACCAAAAAGTAAAGTGAGACAGAGTTGCTCTCAGCTTTTGGGCTCCCTTTAAATTCCAGGTCCATTTTTGTGGATCACACCCCTAGATACTCCTATAAAAGTCCAAGATCCAGAGAGGTAAGGAGTGATAATCCATTTCTCACACGTTACCAGAGATTATACCCCATAGTAATGCTGTTAAAAGATGACCATCCTCTACAGTTTAAAACAGTGCTTAAATTGAACTTTGACTTTTGAAACGTGACTGTTTTTTTAAGCCATGGTCAGAAAGCTGCAACAAATGCAGCTGGGGTCCCCCAGATGATAGTGCCAGGTACGAAAAAATATTCAGGGGGACACTCTGTGCTGCTGCTCTAAGCAGCATGGACAAAATTCACAGTCAGAAGGAAAGGACACGAGCAGAACCCATGGGTAGTGTGCCCTGTCTCCCCCAGAAGGTCAGACTGTCCCCATTTCTGTTTGAAGGCTGGTTACCAGAGAAGAGGTTTGGTACAGGACAAACACTCAAAACTGCGTCGCTAGTTACCTGTCATTTTTTGTCACAGAGCATGCTCATTCATCTGCACTAAGTGACAGATTAACTGACATAAGAAGGGTTTTTGAGATCAAGAACCAGGAATGCAGTGGTAGAAAGACTATGGCAAGCACAGCTGACTGCTTTAATTGAAAATCCAGTGGTGAGAGAAAAATCAGTAAGAAAAACAAATTTTGACTAGTTTTCCTGACATGTTCCCTCTCCAAAATGGAGATAAAGCACACACCTGAAATTTTCTAACTGAAAGCCAACGTCATTTCAAGCAAATAGCCCACTACCAACACAAAAGCTCTTCAGGCAGTGCCACATCAAACAGGTTATCCAGCAGTAGACTATCAGCTTAACTAAGCACCCCTTTGAGAGGAGCTCTTCAGGGAGAGCCAGCTGAACCATAAACACTGCTGGGGATGAATGACATCAATGCAATTTACTGGCTTTCTTCAAATAAAAGACCTCAGCGTAAGGAAATGATTTAAGAGACAACTAAACTCTGCTAGAGTCATAATTAGCAAATAATAGGTTCCATTACACATATTGGTGTATACAACTAATTCAGGATAATTAACAGAAACATATGATAGAACAAGCTCTCCTTTTTTTTCCCAACAACTTTTTATTAACATTACTTACGAATTAATATTTCGAAAATATTGTAGGTGAAATTAATTGAAAGTCAGACATGGCTCAAATACAAAACATAAAAGAAGGTGCAATAATATCACCACAGGCATACTCTACAATAAGAAATACAATAGTGCCTCAAAAGTGGGATTACATGAGATTTGCAGAAGCTTCTGCTTTTCTGCTTTAACAGCCATCGCATAAACACAAGTATCAAGATGTAGCTCCATTAAAATCAATAAAAATATGCTGATTTATGCCATATGAGGATCTGGAGTGTAACTTAGCAGAAATTTGAAAAAGTGAAAAAGTAATGGCTACATTGTCGTTTTAATAGTCAAGTAGTTTATTCATTTCCTTTGTCAGAGCATTTATCAAAGTATCCCTACTCCCAATTTTCTCTTGTGGGATGAGCTAGATTTATTTTCTTTTTCTGTTATGATGGCTTCTAAAAGCCTTGACTATGAACATAACTGTAAAGGACAGTCTACTTAAATGATAGTGACAAAGTATGCAAAATGACAGGGCAATAAAACTCTGAACACACTTTTCTTCAGCAAGCAGAGTATGCCAAAAAAAATCCAGGACAGAGATGTAGCTTTGTACTCTCCTTACTTATACTATGAGACGATTGATTTTTCAAATCTGAATTGATTTGTAACAGCCGAAATATTCTTCCAAAGCAGTAGTAACATTCCCCCATAAAAACATGGAAATCTAAATACCCGGCTTTGCCAAAGTATTACTGCAAGGACAACAGAGCAGAAGAACCAAACTTAGGTTCATTCTTCTCCTATTAAATGCAGTTCTTTATAAAAAGTAAGTTGGAAATAAAAAGCAGTTCTGAAAGACAGAACTATGTCAGTGTATAAAACTGTGTGAAAACTATCTTACAAAAGAAGAAAGTGGAATCAAAAGAAGGTATTTCAAACATCCAGGTGCACATCAGCCTTAGGACTTTGGGTTATACGTCTGAGGTTTCTTAATCAGTTTTCTCATCATTTTTCTGCGGAATACATTTGTTGGCTTGTTGATTCTTGGCTTCTGAGTCTCTGCTAAGAAAACAAAGGAAGCAGTTAGGGAAACAGTATGACAAAACTGTTACTACTCTTTGATTTTTTTTTTTTTCATATAATGCTGTTTAAGTAGTTGATCCAATAATAACAAACATATCAGAAACCGTAAAATCAATTTGGACTCCCTATTCTCACACACTGTAAGGTCTCCAATGTGTCCACCTTTGGCACTGGAGGCCTACTTTGCTGCTCTTTTCCTGAGCATCAAAGACTTTTCCAGTTATCCTGCAGTGACAGCAGAATGAAAGTAAACACACTGCTCTATCTGAAAAAAAAAAAAAAAGAAAAAGAAAAAGAAAAAAAAAACACCCAAAAAAAAACCAAAAAAAAAAAAACCAACCCCGCAAAAAACCCCAAACCAAACTATTACTACATTTCTCTGAACAACACTGGGGCAAAGTGTAAAATATAACCAGTGCTCATGGCAGTTAAAAACAAAATGATGTGGGTTTCTACACAGAACTGGGTTTCATACAAAAGCTGCAGAGTGGCCAAAGACAGTCAGGGTTATCTCCAGGAATGCTTACAAAGGCTGTGTGAATTGTGTGAATGCAGTTCAGAAAACAAGTACTTTGCAAACCTGACTGAAAATCTTTTGTCTTTATGCTACCTGTTTACCTGCACACGGAGCCCATGTGGCCAGCTCCCCATCCTTTCGCTATCACCCCAACTATTTATTTTCTTTTCCAATATAAACTTTTTAAATTAAATGAATCAGAAATCTTTTCACTCCAAAAGCTATAGATCAATTCAAGCAGCAGTTGCATATTTGCACAGGGAAGGTCAACTGAATTCAATTTGAGACTCCAAAAGGTAACAGGAACGATACTGGGGAGGGAATTATTGGAGCAGGAGAGAAGCAGTGGCTTAAGTAGCCTTAAAGATTTGCTTAATGTTGCTGTACACTCCCAAGCTATCAAAATGAATATGTATAGCACAACATTAATTAGCCCTAATTATGCCTTTAACTACGGGCTTTACTTGTACCAAGCCTTACTGAATTGTGAAATCCACAAGTTAGTGAAAAAGCGTATAACCAAGCCTTTACGTTTGATTATCTGGTGCTCTAGTTAAGAGACACAAAAAGAGTGAGGTAGGGAGAACACCCAGGTGGCCCTGGCTGGGTGTGGGCAGGGGCAGAGCGCAGAGGTGAGACGCTGAAGAGGCCGTTTCCTTCCTCTCTCTCTCTGCACACACAGGCTGAAGCCTAGCCCTACCATTTCCCAGGTAGTAATAGATGGAAATTAGATAATCACAAGCATCTCAGATAGACTTAGCATGCTATTAAAGACTCCCTTACAATACTAGAATGGCAGAGACACATTCAGACTTGTCACCCACAGAAATATTACTGCCATGACTAACTGGCCAACAATATTTTTAGTTCTGAGCACTGTGCTCAGGATGCAATCCTTGCCCCAGCCCTGCATTTCCAGCCCAGAACTGAAGGATCATCTCCTGACTTAAGGCTTCTGACTACACATCTTAAATACTGAAGTACCTGGACCTTGTACATATCCCATCTTTAAAACAGAGCTACTTTTTGGCTTTTTTTTCCCCCAAAGTCAATGTACATGCTAGATACAGTCTTACATTTTTTTCCCATTAATATCAGTTTTGTAAGTGGTGTGCTGTGTCTGCTTCCTGAGTGCTCTGGGGATCAACACAGAATTTTGTTTTTCTCTCTCTCATTGATTTACATATCAAATGAATTAGAGTATTAAAAGTTGCAACTGCTGGTATAAACACATAAGTGCAGGTAAAAGCACAACTGTTTTGACTTATGAGCACGGCCAGTAGCTGATTTGAATAAAACCATCAAGAAAAAACAATTTATCATTCCCAACCCTTCCCCCCATGGCCACAGAAAAAGTTGACTCAGCACAACTGACGAGGCAGAAATCTTTAGTAATGGGAAAGGGAAATGGGAACAGGCAGCAGAGAATCAAGGTAGGATGGTAACTGCTGAAAATGTGAAGGAAAAAAGTAAATTGATTTCACAACTTACTTTAGTCCTACTTTAAAACATCTAGAAGAAAATGAGACCTTAATTAGTGTTCATGCTGATACGGAACAGTTTAAAGACTGATTTCTTGTGGGCTCTAGTTAATTAGTCTTTTTGTGTGCCCTTCTCTACATTTCATTCAGAAATGTTGTAACCACCTCATATCACACTGTTCTTGTCAGAAGGATTTAGCCTTGCATCTCAGACTTCCCTGCCTTTGAAAACACTGAGTCCAAAATCCAAGAAGCATATACTTGTAACAAGCCAAGGTGAGAATTTGGACTGATACAGCTCCTTGTGACTGACAAAACACAAAAAAAAATCTTACCTTTTCTGCAGACATTGTAGCAATCTGTTTCAGTAACGAAGTTGTTGGCATTTCCACCACAGCCGGTATATTTGAACTCCTTACATGATTTAGTCTTGGAGTCATAATAATAGCGAGGCACAGAAGAAGAACACAATCCTTCATCCTTTGGGCTATAGCATAGCAAGGGACCAGCTTGAAAAAAAAGAGGGGGGAAAAAAGAGAGAGAGAGAGAGACAAATTACATAAATGTCATCTCTATGCCTGGCTCCTTAAAATTTACCTGCAATAAATTTTGTGGCTAAACAGCTCTTGTTCCCATTGAAATGACACGACAGTTACCAACGTCTTCAAAGACTTGCTACATCTCATTCCTGTGAATGAATTTTGAATTTGTGAAAGCAACAGACAGCCCCAGAAAGTAGGACTATCGTCCCACAAGTAAAATTCATCAGCTTTTGCCATTTGTGGGGCCATACATATGACAGCTGAGGTATTTACATAGTCTGGCCAAGTCTTATTCCATATATATAGAAATATAACAATAATTCCACTGGAACTACCTCTGTAGAGGAAAAAGGCACAATTTTGTTTATCCTTGCTATGATTTTGCCAGCAAATCCTAACCGCTTACCACAAAAAGTACAAACCCCACCACCTTCCTAACAATCATGTTTCGTTTCACCTCAACAAAATCTTACTTTTCTTGATGGTGACCTTTTACCAATTTATTGTATGTGCAACACAGAAATTAAAAATAATTAAGCAATCACCTAAGAACACACTGACAATCTGTCATCAGCCAAAAATAACTGTCTCATCAAGCATTAATAAAGCTTAGGCAGTGACAGCTTTTATACATTCTGGTAGATCTCTCTTCCTCAAAGATCCTGTCTTGGCCTGGATACTAATCTGGTGTTTATGACAATACTTATCTAAGTCACCTGCTCATAATTACCACCTCTCTTCTTAAAAATTCATATGGAGAGACGGTGAAGAGTCATGTCAGGTAAAAAACTTTTATCAGAAGTTGAGCTGGTGAGTGTCAAACATCCAAGCCACCTAACACCATCTCTCAGGACCGAATTTTAGAAAGGCACTTCCACTTTATAATAAGATATCACTGTCATGAACGTGATTGCCACATCCGCCTCAACACAGATCTCCAACCTTATTTCCCTTCAGATTACACACATATGGCTCTCTAGAAGTCAAGAGATCGGTTGGATGTAGCTGTGGGCATATTTAAGGTCACAATATTAGACTAACACAGCATTTTTGCTCTTTCAGTAACAGCTGAGACAAGTGACACAGAAAACCTGCAAACAATATAAACATCTGCTTCACAGAAGTCTTCAAAAATACCACTGTACGGGTATCCAGAGGAAAATATCAAATAAAATATCATCTTTGTATGGCTTTCAAACCATCTACTTTATTAAAAATTTAGAACAACCATTACTTTTCTCTGGCAGACAGTGGTCCACACAAGACTGCAAATCTCTGAAGTTGTTGCCATTTCCGTAACAGCCACCATAGATGAACTCCTCACACCTCATTGAGCTCAAGTTAAAGGCGTATCTTCTTAGATGACTCCTGCAAGGTCCTCCATCAGCCTCCATCCGGCATAATTTGGGTACTTCTGCAAAAAAAAAAAAAAAATCATCCTCTGTAAAATCAACCATTCATGTTCCCCGTACTGAACATGGTAGCGCAGACAAAAAGCTATTACTCCAGTCACAGGCAAGTCACAGCTTGTCCCACTACCTGCACTCTTTAATAAAGTGGGATAAGCTTTACAGGAGGAATCTGACACATTAATGAGCAACTAGTTATGATACTACATTACATTTAACATATTAATAGTTAAATTCCGCATATTGCCTCTGAGACAACTCGTTCTCTGCATAAAATTGACATCAGTGAGACCGTTGCAACAAGCAAGAGGGACAGACGAGGAGGGGGTGGAGTACAAAGCGTCCCGCAAGCAGCGCAGCCTCCCCGGTGCTCCCACATCCC